GTTTCGAGAAAGCACATACAAACTTCGAATTTTATATATTAGATTCGCTAAGGCTTTAATTTAAAACGATGATTATCGGCTTGTTAGCGGCTTTCCTTTGATCTGTTTATTCTTAATAATCGATACGCAAATGACGTCAATCAGATCTAATTAGTAACGCTTAATTAACATTGTTAAGAAGTTACATGCAAATGGGCTGGCAATGATCCAATCGGCTGGGATGGTTTCGTTGATTTAAAAGAAATCAATTTCTGTCTGGATTTTTAAAAAATCTTGTTATTCTTCTTCCTTCATTTGTCGTGTCCCTTTAGGACGTGGGCGATCGTGGCTCTCCACGACTTTCAGTCTTTTGTAGTTTTTAGTAAGATTTTTCTTTTCACCATCCCTCCCAATCAGTGTTCCGCCAGCCATATGCACAAGCTCATTAGGTAGGTCACACGCTGTTTTCCTCTGTCCCACTTGCCTTTAATATGCCTTGTGAGTGTCATATTCACCAATCCCTCTTTCTTGTTCTCGGTATAAACATCCTTTTTTATTTTAATTTTACTTAAAACTTCCACGTTATTAACAAGTGGTATTCTTAGAATTCGTCTACAGAATCATATTTCTTTTGCTTCAAGCCTCTTATTGCTCTTTGGGGAGTTTTCCCAGCATTCACTGCCATTAAGGAGGAATGATATTACATAAAAGTTCGGCACTCCTTGTTTTTGTTTCTAACGAAATTTCCCTGATTCTTTATACTTGGAATGTATGATATATTCATATTTTCGGACCGCTTTACTGGTCGTATTTGTGTTTTACATGTTTTTATCTGTTATTGTATACCAGTAAATTTGAACCAGTTTCCACTAGATTCCCAGAGCTCGAAAACTGTGACACAGAAATCCCAAGATGCATTAGAATAACAAAAGATGCCTTCCAAAATCTAAAAGTATCAAGTATAGCAAAATTGGAAAATTCCGTTAACAGTATTGAATTTCTATATAATATGAATGCTCCTATGTAGCTGTGAATGAAGAAAAAATTCCTCGCAAATGAATCTGTCGACTACGACCCTTATAGAAAGCTAAGGATGTCATATTGATGATAATGTTTTTACGTAGGCTCATGTATAAACACGATGTTTACCTATAAACTTAAGCATAATCTCGGCCAGCACACATATAAACTCATGTAAAATCTCAAGTATTGTTCGCTTATATACTCGCTATAAACACAGCTATGGTTTACCTACACACCCAAGTATAAAACGACCAGAGTTTACTGATAGACTCACGTATAAACACGAACAATATTTACCTAGCGATTCATGTATAAACATTCTTAATGCTTACATATAGACTCAAATATAATTATGAACAATATTAATCTCTAGACTCGAGTATAAACCAGCCTGATGTTTACTTAAAATCTAAATAAGGCCAGTGTTTATCAACAGATTCAATTATAAATCCAAGCACTATGTAACTACAGACTCAGTATAAAGACGATCAATATTTACATACAGATTGCAGTATAATGAAAAAAAAAGGTTTCTGTATTAAAGGGTGGAAATAATGTTAAATTACTAAACTGGACCCAATCAATGAAAATCGCCAGAACTTATTCGAAAGTCAAGGAATATAAAAGAACATCCTAAAAATATGAAACTAATTGCATGTATTTATTTTTTAAAATTATGGACACTGATTACAAAAGCATTCAAAGATAAACATATTAAATATATTTTTCTTAAATAAGCTGATATTCCATAAACATGTAAATTATTTTATAATGCAAATTATTCTAGTGATATAATATTCCTTATTTAGCGTTAGACACAATTTTGATATGGTGGATTTCAGCAACATATCAGCATCTATGGGTTATTTAATACCGAAATCTAAATATTTTCAACACAATTCAATGGTTTCAACTCAATATATTTTTAACGTAATTGTATGTCTTCAACTACAGATAAAATGGATTGCTGATAATTCTACTATAAAATGTGTTATGTACTACATAATAATATGTTGCTGGTATTTTTTACTATAGAAATTATTTTCTATACTTTCTTAGTTTTTGTTTTGCGATACACTATTTGCCCATATCTGGAACTTTAACAGATGCTAGCACCCCCGCCCCCGGATCAGGGTGAACCTGGGAGCAACAGAAATTAAATGTAGTTCTAGGCCCTTCAAAACTTGCTTGCTGTCGTATGTAGATCCAGGTGACATTTCTTTAATCCATTAACTGCCAATTTTTTTAGTGCGCATTTTTTGGGGGCCAGACAAGTGTCTTAGTAGTTAAAACAACATACAATATTAAAATTTTCTTCGAATAGCTGGTACTTTGAAACTTTATAGAAACTAGACCATCAAATAAATATGTGTATAAAACATCAAAAAATAATATTGATTAGAAATAATAAAAAAAAATACTTTTCAAAACAGTCATTATTTTTCTACTCGTAAAATGTAAAATTACGAAAGAAAGTGTCATCTATGATTAGTTACGGCTAATAATAAAAACTTTAAAGACTAAGTGTTGTAAAATATATCTCTGCAAATGCAATGTATGTAAGCAATTCAATGTAAATACAAGATACAACATTTAGTGAGTTTAATTTTAACAGATCCCTAAATGGGGCTTATGGCATATAATGGGTTAAACCAAACAAGGTCATGTGTTTGTTCTAACCTCCTTGGAATGAATGCTAAGAACAAGCCCAAATTTATACAGAAATCCTATTAAAAGAAACCCAGATGCATGCTGGGACTTCTTAACTAATAAAAATGGACAGTTTCCATTCTCTTTCCTCATATTTTTGTGCTTTCTTGTCATGAAGTAAGAAGGCTTTAGCCACTTGACCGCATCCCTTTGGATTTGTGAACACATTGCCGAATTATAGTTGCTTTGCTTATGTGTGACGTGCATATATATCGTTTGTTAGTATTATTTTGACCTATTCTTATCCTTTTCATTTTTATGGTTTACTCAGACCTTGTTGATAGTTCTGTCAGTTATGCTTATACATAGCCAAATATGTCTTATCGAATACATAACACCATTTCGTGAGGGTATCTGAATTATTAATGAGAGAATTAACCCCAGACTAAACCCTTGCGAACTAAAAAGAACAAAAACAAAACAAAAAATGGGTGTTGAAGTTTTCTATCCTAATATAACATTCATAAGACAGTCATTGTTTACATTATATACCTTAGAGATGGCTGCAGTAACCCTATTCGTAACTGCATATCCTTTCAAGCATAGGCATGGTAGTTTAATGGATTACGGCTCGGATTGAGGGATCGGAGCGCCGAGTTCGAATTCCAGTCGAATCCATTACATTTACTTACGTGCTTAATACCCTTGGGAAAAGTATGAATCCTCGTCTTAAGCTATGGATACATAGCAGGAAACACCAAGTTCTGTAGCCTTGGTTTTCAACTGGTCTACTGCAGTAGAAATGGCAACCTACTGCGGAAAAAATCTGACATGTCAGTTATGTATCGAATGATACATGATCGCCTAAGCGTGTATCAAGTGTGGCACCTAACTGACTGACTGATTGTGGGTATATAGATTTTTAGAGACCAGCGGTAAGTTATTAGAAGAGAATAAGAACCAATACTTCGTATTTAAAAGCAATAGAAATAGCAAGACTTTCCTCTTATAATATTCTGATATATTCCATAATCCCAGTAAATGCCTGAAAACGGAGATACTATGGAACTCAATATGTATTATCCTAAACTATTTACATTATTCGGACTATTGTCCTCATCTTTGTCGCCATTCTTGTTACAAAGTTTCGGCCGTTGTACGCTTAGGCCTTCTTCAGGTGGTTGGAATATCGAACTGAACCCTTTATTTCGCTCACTGGGGTAGACTATTCTAGTTCCACGTTCTATGTTTTAATGGAAGTCATTTGTTAGTTATCTCCTGTTAATTCCCCTCGCCAAGTTCTCCACTGCCTTAATCGGGTATTAAACTCACACTCTCTGGGTCCTTCACTGGATCTAACTAACGCCTCTGTCCACTGTGCCATGTGTCCTTGCACGTTGTAATGAAAATGGCGACAATGTTGAGGACACTAGTCCAAATAATGTAAATAGTGTACATAATACCTCATCTCAGAAATATAGATAGATACTGAACGGCCGAAACGTTGTAATAAATATGGCGACAAAGATGAGGACAATAGTCCGAATAATGTAAATGGTGTACATAATACCTCATCTCAGAAATATAGACAGATACTGAACGGCCGAAATATTGTAATAAATATGGCAACAAAGATGAGGACAATAGTCCGAATAATGTAAATAGTGCACATAATACCTCATCTCAGAAATATAGGCAGATACTGAACGGCCGAAATATTGTAATAAATATGGCAACAAAGATGAGGACAATAGTCCGAATAATGTAAATAGTGCACATAATACCTCATCTCAGAAATATAGGCAGATACTGAACGGCCGAAACGTTGTAATAAATATGGCAACAAAGATGAGGACAATAGTCCGAATAATGTAAATAGTGTACATAATACCTCATCTCAGAAATATAGACAGATAATGTATTATCCTTTAGATTCCGACTCACTGCGGAGTATAGGCTTACGGTCATATCACGTTAAAACATTGGTAATCGTAGGCTCACTGAAGTGAAGCAACGTCAGTAAAGGTCAGTAACTAGCTGGGTGACCGCTTTCGAATGCAAAGTTCTGTACTGTTGGAAAGCCTATTTTCCTTTTCTTATGCTGTATCCAGTTTTCCTTTGTCTTTTACGACGTTATCCTGATAGTTGAATTTCCTTACTTCGTTGATATTGACGTCCCCAGTCCGTAGCAAACATTTTAGGTATTCACTTTTGCTGACGACCAAACAGTATGTATTGTTACAGTGAATAGTCATTCCTTTCTTCTTGTTTTGCATTATTAACTTCTCTAAGCATACTACACTTACTCTTTCATTATTGCATGTCTCTTTAGTCATTATGGCTTACACGTTGAAGCACCAGTTCCCGTACGATCACTGAGTTTAAGCAAAGTCAAGCATGGTCAGTACCTCAGTGGGTGACCACTTGGGAATACCAGAAGCAGCAAACTCGGCTGGGCGGTTGATGTAATGGTTAACGGCTCGGAATTGGAAATCGAAGAGTCAGCTTCCGATTCATGTCGGGTTCATAATATTCACTTACGCGCAAATGCTCTTGTAAAAGGCATGAACCCAACTAATAGCTATCAGTTAATTAGTAGGACTTGTATAAGTAAATCATTATTATTTCAAATATTAATCTGAGAATCTAAAAATATTTTCTGACTTTAAATAACTTGCAAAAATATTGATAAGCCGTAAACAAAACAAATCCATAAATGTCCCGTGTAGTGTAGCGCCACAGCCGCATGACGCAAGTATTTGCTATTGTGACTTACGTAGTGAATAGGTTTTTATTGGCAGGTGTTACATGATATTTAAGTACGGTCAGACTGCGTGTGTTACTACTAAGTGAACCAAAGAGATACCAGCGGGCTTTGCGTCTTTCTCTTGCAAATAAAGCATCATTTTAACCGTCCTCTTCCCATACAATTTTCATTTTTATACTTCGTTTATATTCTCTGTGTGAGGCAGTTTGTTAAATATATGCATACATATATATACATACATAAATATATACATATAATATATATATATATATATATATATATATATATATATATATATATATATATATATATATATATATATAAGTGTTGTTGAATAATGCGACACGCTAGGTATATCCAATTTGTTATTCAGATCTTAGCAATATTCAACAAAACCTATTTAAAAGAATTCTTGCTGCCTGAACAAACCTTATATATATATATATATATATATATATATATATATATATATATATATATATATATATATATATAAAGCATTATTTTGTCCGTCCTCTACCCATTCAATATTCCTTTTATACTTCACTTATATTCCTTGTGTGGGGCAAGTTATATATATATATATATATATATATATATATGTATATATATTGAATGTTTAGAATCACCTATACTTTGTTCTCCTCTTTCTTATATATTTGTTTCTGGAATTAATTCCTATGGACTATTCAAGTCCTTTCTTTTGCCTTGTTAATGTTTTAGCATAAGGTAGATAGATATACTAATGGCTACAAAGGACCTTGGAGAGTAGAAAAGACCAGCATAGTTTCTTTTTCTTCCCAAGCACTTCATTAATATGCAATAAACTGTATCAGAACATGGTACAGAAGTTAAAGCCTTTTTTGACAGCGTTGTTTTTTTAATTTTGAAGTTATAGTTTTAGTTTTCTTTTTCTTTTTCATTTTACTTTTAAATTCAGAAACTCTGGGTTAAACGTTTTGCATTGTTCATTCTCACTATGTGCGATTCGCGCATAGCGCCCATCATTTGGAGTTTGTCTTTCCCGGCTTGCATCAGTCTGCTGATTTCCGCTGACGCAATCGAGTAATTTTGCAAACCAAGCGCAATTGAATCAGTTGTTTGCCGATTAAAACATGTTATTTTTTTAAAGGATGGAAATGGATCGATAACTGATCAATAAGGTCGAATCATTAAGTGTAGAGTGTTTTATGGTGACACAATACGACGAAAACAACTGAGTGCGTGTTTTCAGAACGACGGAAATAAAAATGGCGGACGAGTTGCCATTGAAGAATTGTAAGCAAGCGAGATGTGTTTTTTTTTTGTTTTTTTTTAAATCGGTATCACTGAAGCAAATCAGTACACCCACTAGACCGCAAGGGGCTACAGGGTGTGGGGGAATTAGGAACAGAAACATTCGCAACGAGGAGAAAGAGAAAAGAGCAACCAGGACAGTAGATAACGCTTCGCATTGAATTTAAATTTTTCCAGATTAAAGTTGGTTAGAAAGCATGGAAGCGGGAGGGGATTCCTAAGTGAAGGATAAGAATCTGTTAGCAGAAAAAGAAATTACGTTACATCTTACTAGCTCAACTGTAAATTGATGTGATCCCGAAACCAGTCTAGTATTGCGCTTAAATTCATACAGTCTAGGTATTACAGCGAAGAGCTGATTCGAACAATTACCATGAAAGTATTTGTAGAAAAGGCACATAGTGGCAACCATATGTTGTTGGGAAAGTAACTGAATCCGAGCCGCCAGATCAGGACCAATAATATTGCTGATTCTTCTTTGGATCTTCTCAAGGAGCTCCAGGAATATAGCAGGGACACGAGACCATATATAGCAACAATATTCTAAGCATGGACGAATGGTAGACTTATAGATATGCAAGATAGATCTCGAAAAGAAAAATTGTCTCACTCGACACAGTGAATTAACTTAGCAGCTGATCTACCGATGGATACAATGTAGTCTTTCTACCTCATGTCAACTGAGAAAGTTAGTCGAAGTAGGTGCAACGAGTCACTTTCTTAGAGGATAGCATCATCCATGGTGATGGAAGGCAAAGGGCTCTCTCAGATGATTAATGGAGAAAAGTTTAGTTTTGATAAGCCATCTTTTGCGCCACTTAACGACGGTTTTGTGGTCCTTTTGTACATCGGCTGCCATGTTGACTTTGTCTGACTGATCAGCCTTACAATCGAGGCAGGAGTAAATGGTAGTGTCGTCAGCGTAGATGCCAAGTTGAAAACTGATGTAATCGGGAATTAAAGTTAAAAAGAGCGCAGGACCAAGGATGGAGCCCTTGGAGACACCCGCGTTAGTGCGAAAGGATGTAGAAGGGTGGTCGTTCAGGACATCTTTTATTTCACGATTTGATAGGAACGACTGGATCAGCTATTTTTAAACGAATACTAACATACCAATTATTCTCCGAAATGAGTGCTCCGTATTTATGGCCTTGTGTTACTGTTATGGTAATTTATCCACGCACATGGAGTCTCCCAGCTATAAATAGGAGCAGGTACTGCCTTTTGGAGTGGGAAGTTTCCAGCAGTCGGCTCTGACAGTCAGACTGAACATTCTTGCTGTTTGTATTACGATTTCTGTTAATATATTTAACTCAATTCCTCTCTTGTGTCTTTATTTCTGGCCCTAACAAGATTACAACAGTTATACAAATACAACCTACTCAATACTGAAAAAGTGCTTTTACTTCTATTATTTTCAGAAATAAGAATTATGTAGCCTTGTGCCAGACTACGCTAAGCTTTATGCACCTGGCCAGGAGCAATTGTTATAATACTGGTTTCGCAAACTACTCGTGTTGAACTAAATTGGTGTCCCATTTTATGGTGTTGTGCGAGACTCAACCTTTTTTCTGGCATGTGTTATATCCCTTCAAGACGTAGGCGATCATGACTCTCCACAACTTCCTGTCGCTTGGAACTCTAAACAACTTTTGACACTTTACTGTTCCCCTAGTGTCATTTTGTTTTCATCTACTCCTCCTTCCTTCAGTATGTTTCATGCGTGTTAAATTCCCCAAGCCCTCTTTCCTCGTAATACATCGCACAAACCTCTGTTGTTTGTTTCTGATTTTAAGTATAAATGTCCTTTTATTTTCTACTTTACATCGAGCTTCCTCTTCATCTGTAAGTGTTGTGACCAAGTAAATGGTTTCGTAATAACATAAACCAGGTTTGCAGATATATCGTATATTAAACACTAAGTACCCCAGAAGAGTATTATTCATCATTCACTATTACAATGCGACTTCAGATTTCTAGGTAGCATTTGTCAATCGTCTCTTTCTACACCTAATCGATGAAACAGAATGAAAACAGAACTTTACTATCCAATCAAGATTGTACATCAAAATGACAACCACTGTGCTACAGCAAGATGATTATAACTAAAAATAGCTTAGTTTGGCACAAGGACGTAGATGTGAGCCTCGTAATGGAGGTGACAGACACTACAGTCGAAGATACTACTTTTTTTAATGCTAGCCGATAGCTCTATCTTAAACTGATCAAAGGGATTACGATCACCGAAGTTATGCAATGTCGGGCTTGGTCAGTACCCTGATTGGTGACCGCTTGTAAATATCAAGTGCAGCAAGCTTGAATGTGCGGGTGGTGTAATGGATAATAGCTCGGAATTGTTCATCGGGGATCCGAGTTCCAATTCCAGTTGTGTTCGTTATATTCACTTAGTCGCAAATAGTCTTAGGAAAGGTATGAATTCGCAACTTCTCCACCACCTATGGGTTAATTAGTAAGACTTGTATCACTAAAACACTACTATTATTTTTTTAAAATTCTTCCCATCAAACATTTCTATGGCTTTACATAACCTGCAAAAAGTTGATAAATCGTAGAAAAGAAACGAATCAATCAATCAGTAAAATACAATTAATCTGATCAACATTTATTAAAATTTTTATTTTAGTGCCGACAATGAGAAAATTTTCATTTTACTCCATATTATCGCTTTTTTTATCAGACGAACTTCAGAAAACCTAGACAAAGTATCAAAGGAAAGTGATAAGAAAAGATTAACTATTAATTAGACATGATAGGATATATAGTCGTCAGCAAGAGGGTCAGTAAGATTAAAGATATCAAAATAAAACAATACAGAAATTTAACCATTTCGGTAATATTGTAACAGACAAAGAAAAGTATCCTGATTCATTTGGATGCATATCGGAATAAAGACTGATGCTGTTAGGAAATGTAGTCCTGGGTAAAAACGATAAAATACATCCGGCAGCAAGGTATCGGATTAAGAGATTAGAGGTTTCGAGGAGCATGAAACCACCTTTTAATTGTTGTCGTATCTAGGTCCACCCTGACCCGAGGCGATAGCACCTGCTAACGTCCCAGTTATGGCAAATAGTGAAACAGCAAACACTAAGAAAAGTATCAAAATACACTTTGTAATAGTAAAAATACCAGCAATACATTTTTCTATAAAAAAAATTATCAACAATTCATATTTATAATAAAAATAGCGATAATACATTCGAAAAACAAAACAAGTTTAAAAAATAAATCAACCAAATTTAAAATTGTTGTGTGGGAACCTACCACCCCTCTTGAAGATGAACTCGTCTACAAACAAGGACGTTAACTAGTGGCATGTCAAAAGACTGTCCCTGGGATTCTAACCCTGCTGCAGTACCTT